TCCAGTACTATGTTGAATAAGAGAGGTGAAAGTGGATATCCCTGTCTTGCTCCCAAATCATAAGGAAAATGCTTTTAGTTCTTGCCCATTGAGTATGATGTTGGCAGTGGATTGTCACATATGGCCTTTGTTATGTTGAAGTAGGTTCCCTCTATTTCCACTTTGCTGGTAGTTTTTTAAGTCATAGATGGGTACTGGATTTTATCCAATGCTTTCTCTGCATTTATTAATATGATGATGTTGCTTTTATCCTTCATTTAATTTATGTGGCAATCCACTGCCAACATTTGTACAATATGTGCAAATCCACATTTATTGATTTGCACATATTGTACCAATCTTGCATCCCTGGAATAAATCTTACATGAGGTCTCTGGGTTGTCTTCTATGAGTACAACTCACATCATGAGGGCTCTACTCTCATGACCTAGTTATTCCAGAAGCCTTACCTTCTAATACCAACACATTGGGGGTTAGGATTTCAAACATGTAAAGTTGGAGGAACACAAACATTCAGTTCATAGCACCCTGGATTCCAAGTGGCTTGGGATTGCTAACCCAGTCATTAGGTAATGATGAATTTCTCAACACAGTGTCAAAGCTGGGGACACATTAGCTCGGAGAATGTTACCTATAAATAAGTCTGGTCTTGCAATAACCTAAATTATCCAACCCTGCTTCAGTATCGGGACCTAACCTGTTCTCCCCAAACCTGTGTTTCTACTATGCAGGTCTTTAGAGATGACCTAATCTCTCTCCTATCTGGCCTTTGTACCTGGTATTTTCTCTACCTGGAACATCCTTTCTTTCTTCCCAGCTTCATCCCATCCCTACTACCTCATTCCTCATTGAATTAACTTCTATTCATGTTCCAAAGTCCAGCTCAAACATCACCTTCTCTGGGGAAACTTTCCAAACCATACTTTCCCCATTTTGCCTCTGTAGCAACTTAGGCAAATTTTTGTCTCTCAATCATCCTGTGGTGTCATAGTCTGATCATTATTGTCATTCTCTCTAGACTTTGCACTCCTTGAAGCCACCCCTGTCTTTGAGCCCAATGTCCAAATGTACTGGGTATTCCATTATATAGAAGGGAAGGAGGGAGGAAGAAAGAATTTTGTCTTTTACTTGTGAGTCTCCTGATCATCTGATGAGTTTAGTAAAAATTACTGCAACACCAGATATGCTGCAACCTCTTTTTATTCATGTATCTTTGAACACTTGACCTGTGAGTTCAAGCAGCCACATGGTTCATTTAATAGCATATCCAAATAGAGTATCCACTGAAGTGAGTTGCCTATTAAAATAGTTTAATTGGTATTAATCAATTAAAGTTCATTGTAATGTGCCCCAATGGTAGATTCAGATGTCTTTGTTTTCAATACTAGTTTCAGCACTTAGTAGCTGTGTGACCTTGGACAAATTACATAATCTCTTTGAACTTCAACAGATTTATCAGTAAATTGTCCATACAGATAACTGCCTGACAGCATTGCTAATGGTATGAAATAATGGTATGTGAAAGACCTAACCTGTAGTGACCACTTCACGTACGTTTGTTCTTTTTGCTCCAGGGCCATCATGAACAGACTGCTGGAGGGTAGGGAAGCTGGGGAAGAAGGATGGAAAGTGGCAGGTGCAGGCAAGTACTCCTTAGTCATCAAGCACTCATTGTGTGCTCTGTGTTTTATGTGAAGAAACTTAAATAATTCTCAAAGCAACACTTAAGATTAAGTTTTGAGAGATTCAGTAAATGTCTCTTCTTTTTAATTTAAAACTTTAAAATAAAATATTTCATTGAGGTAACTGGTTAATAATACTCTATAAATTTCAGGTGTACAATATTATAAGTTGATATTTGTATATATTATTGCATGCTTACCACCAAAAGTCTAGTTTCTATTCATCACCATATATTTGACACTTTTTATCCATTTTGCCTTTCCCCATCCCTCTTCCTCTCTGGCAACCACTGTTCTGTTGCTTGTGTCCAGGAGTTTGTTTGTGTTTTGTTTAGTTGGTTCATTACTTTTTTATATTCCATACATGAGTGAAATCACATGATAGCTCTTTGTACTTTTCTGACTTATTTTACTTAGCATAATACCCTCAAGATCATCCATGTTGTCATAAATGCAATATTTAATCTTTTTATGGCTGAGCAATATAAATACGTACATATATATATACTTCTTTTTATTGTTTAACTGTGTTTTTACATTACAGCTTACATTCAATATTATTCTGTATTAGTTTCAGATGTACGGCATAGTAACTAGACAATCATGTACTTTACTACACAGTGGTCCCCTCAGTGTCTTAAGTGTCTACCTGACCCAAATGTAGTTATTACAATATTAGTGACCATATTCCCTATGCTGTAATTGACATCTTTGTGACTAGTCTGAATGAACAAATCTGTACTTCTCAATCCCTTCACCTTTTTTACTGAGCCCCCAGCTGCCCTCCCCTCTGTGAACTGTCAGCCTGTGCTCTATGAGTCTGTTTCTATTTTGTTTGTTTTTCAATTTCACTTGTAGGTGAGATCATATGGTATTTGTCTTTCTCTGAGTAATTTATGTCACTTAGCATAATACTCTCTAGGTCCATCTATGCTGTCACAAAGGGTAAGATTCCTTTCTTTTTTACGGCCACATAGTATTCCATTGTGTAAATGTACCACAGCTGTGTTATCCTCTCATCTAGTGATGGGCATGTTGTACTTTAAAATTTTACCTGTTTAGTAGCATGTGTCCCTCCCCTCACCCTGCTCCTCCACACACATATCTCTCAGGGCCAGGGGGAGACCCTAAGGAAGCATTTGCCAGTTTTCATGGTGTAAATACTCCCATCACAGCTGATCTCCACCTACTAATGGTATAACAACTGACTCCAGGCATTCCTGAAAATTTAACGGTATACCCTCACCAGCTAATTGAGCTGGCTCTAACATGCCCACTGCCTGTCTTAGTGGTGCCCTCACTCACTGTGCTTCAGCTTCTCTGGCCTTCTTCTCATTTGTCTGACTGTTCCCGCCCTCCAGCCTTTGCATTCACTGTGTCCTCTTCCTAAAACTGTTTCTCCTCTACATGTTCATTTGGCTGCCTCCTTCTTGTCATTCAGCTCTTACCTCTGATGTCTCATCCACACAGGTGACCTTCGTTACCCACTTTTGCTAAAGGAGTTATCCACTCTGTCACTCTTTAGCACATCATCCTGTTTTTCTTAGTAGCATTTATCATTGTATGGACTTTATATTTACTTATCTACTGCCTGTCTCTTCCTATTAGAATGTAGGGTTCTTGGGAACTGGGACTCTATCCTGTTAATTTCTGTGTCCTCAGCTCAGAGTAGATGCTTCGTGAATAATTGTTGAATGAGTGAATTTGTTTCAGTTCATATGACTAATAAGAAAGAAAGTAGAAGTCAAATATACAGCCCATACTGTTGAACTCTGTGTGTTGCCTCAAATTATCCTCAGATGGCTTGTACAATAGTCTGGACTACAGAACAGTTATGTAGCCACAGTGCAAAAAGATCCCATGTGTGCTGCTGGTAGGAAGATAAATTGGTATAACTACTTTGGAAAACATTTCTGCATCAACTCCTAAGCTGAAGGTGACCCAACCATTCTACTCCTAGGATATACCCAAGTGTTATTCCTGCATACATACAGCTGGAGACATATGAAGAGTGTTCATAGCATTAAAAGCATAAAGCAAAAACTTGGAACTAATTCAAACATGAATTAACAGGAGAGTTGACTACTATACAGCAATAAAACCAATGAATTACCCAGTATTCAACAGTATGTATTTACCTTAGCCATACACTATTCAACACAAATGGTAAATCCTCAAAAATATAAATAGCATTATACTCTTTTATGATACTAAAAACATCTTTTAAAAGTGAAAGTAATTCTAATTAGGATGACTTATAAATTCAATAGAATTATATGAAAAGAAAACAGAATGGTGGACATAGGACACAGGATGAAGACACCTGGGTACGGGAGGCAGGGGATGTACTTGTTGATGGGGAGTGGTCATCTGGTAAGACATAGTTATTATCCTAACTTGTTTTAGGCAAAGGGTTTGTATGTGCTTATTGTGTTATTAAAAATGAACTCATTAAACGACCAGCTAAATAGCTAAAATTGAACCATATGTGAACCATGAATTATAACTAATCTAATTCTGCTGTCCAAGGTCTAATCACAAAGAAAGTACTGTCATGGAACAACTGTCATAACAATGGGACAGTACTGCACAGGTAAAAGCAACTAGCTCCATTAAGCCCTCAGCAAACATTTGGAACCTAGTTTGGTGCTTTCATATTTGTGATTCACTTAGTTATCACAAAAACCCTATGAGGGCCCTGGCTGGTGTTGGTTGGAGCATCGTCCTGGAGCATGTTTGGTGTAACACCAAAGGCTGAGTGTTCGATTCCCAGTCAGTGTTCATGTGGGGGGCAAACAACTGATGTTTCTCTCTCTCTCTCTCTGACCCTTCCTCTCTCTAAAATCAATAAACATATTTTTAAAAACCTTATGAGGTACATATTGTTTCCATTTTAAAGATGAGAAACTGAGGTGTATTATTTTGCTTACTTTCCCAAATCTGTAACCCAGTCCTAGAATAGGACTTGTCACAAAGTGTAACTAAGCACTTTCTAAGCAGTCTGGGTAGAGAGAGGGCAGCCAACTGAATGGGAATGAAGGGGAGGGGGGCAGCAACAGACACTTTAAATATTTTAATTTCCAGAATGTGGATGGAAGAAATGTCACTGCCAGAGTGTTATTCTGCCTGTGACTTGGCATAACAAAAGTTTTACTCCTTTTATAGGTTATAAGTTATTTGTGTTCACATTATATATCATGCATGATTTGGACAAATAAGATCAATGTACACAGTTCCACAAAGATTCACTGAATTGCATTTTCTTACATTTTTAAAAAGAAATATTCAAAAATTTTATTTTGCAACCTTTGAGCCCACTCTGTTTTCCAGGTTTTAAAAATAACATTATTGTCAAAAAGTGAAAATAGGAAACTGAAAAACACAGAAGCAAAGAGCAAAGTCGTCCATAATCACAAACAGCTCACAAATTGATGTGTCCTTCTAGGTCCCGTGTATGTACCTACAAAACTAAGCATCTGCTTTTATGTAATTAAGATCACACAATTATGTTTCCTGCTTTTTCACATTTCAAAGTCCCAAAGGTACATGTGTATTTTTGTTACCAGACGGGGACCTGGCCTGCACGGGTCCACCTGGGACCAGCTGTCCTGTGTGGGTTCTTGACTTTGTGTAGGAAAAATTTCACAACATGAGTCCAGGGGGCTATGAGGGTACACTTATTAAAGCTGGGGGCAGTGAAACAAGAAAGGGCTCAGCATAGAGGAAGCAATAGGAGAGCCCAGGCTGGCCTGCCTTGGCTCACTGGGAAGCCAGAGAAAAGAGGACCTTGGGGACAGGTTCAGCGGATTAGACTGGGACCAATGCCACTGCCCATTGCTCCCCTGGTTGCAAGTCTCCTGAGGACTCTTAGAGTTTAGGAGATGCACACTTGTGAGAGAAAAAGAGAGGGAAGGGAATGGATTGGGCTGCTCCCATAGGGAGAGAACATTGGGTCCTTTATCTTGAGGCTTTTATCTCTCTCTTGCTGGTGGGAATCATGTCTCTAGAGAAGACTGCAGCAGAATATTCATCAGTTCTCCAGGTGTGCCCTTTCAGTTTATTAGGCTCCACTGATTGGTCAGGGCAGGACAGGGCCTCATCAGTCATTGCAGCTGGTCCTGGGATCACCCACCTGGTTTTGCTGCTTTTCTGGGTCTGGAGCTGAAACACACTGAGGCCTCGATGTTGTGTCCAGGAAAGTCCCTCTGTATCTGCTGTAAATTGCTCAGCTGGTTTGTTCAGCTACTGATCTCAGTTTCCCTATTCCACTTGCCAAGTAATTCTCCTAGCTTCTTACTGTCCAGCCTCATTTTGATAACCAAGAATACACTACACCAACTGAATCTGAAAGAAAAAAAATATATAATTCTTCCTTTTTTGGTGGCAAAAAATTTCATAAAAGACAGAAATGGAAACAGTCCTCTAGATAAAGATATTGGCAGAGTTATAATTAAAATACTACATTCCCTTAATGTTCAATTAAGAATGAGACATAGAGCAGAAAAGTACACAAAGTGTAATGCTTCTAAGGGAATTCATTATCTGATCTATACTTTTAAAATATTAGCAAAAAAGCAAGTTTCCATTGAATTACTTAAAGTGTGTTCCTACAATATAGCCAAAAGAGAGGCACATGCATCAATGATAATCATGAAAATGCAAATGCAAACACACCAGCAGACACCCCTGCCTCCATACTTCTTTCTACCCTTCCGCTGCCTACCCAGTGAGAAGTCCTGATGTACAATTCTGAGACTGCATTGTTTCTACCCTTTTAAATCAAGTTTTCCCCTCCATAACTACTTTTTTATATCTACTTAATTCTATTTCTTAGAAACAAAATTTCCCCTTATGCTGCCCATATAGTTCATTTTGTATAAAAAAAGGAAACTGTGTGAGAAGAAGAAAAAAACTTTTTTAGTGAGTACTGTTTACTTCACAACACTTCTGTTATGTGGCAAGTCTAGGACACCCACCCTGGGGCAGGGAGGCCTTTACAGGGGGAAACATGGGCCACGGAGTGTCTCCTATGAGCATTTTGGAATAGACACACTGGGATTTTTGTTTAGAGATGGGCAAAAAAAAAAAAATAATAATAATAATAAAAATAGACACCCTCCAACTTCTCTTGCTTTTTGCAATTAGGAGAAATCTTAATTTCTCATTGAATGTGAAAAATATAAGCCACTTATTGACGTTGCAAACTTGTTTCAGCCTTAGCTTTTCCTGCTATGTGGCCTGACTACCCGCTGGCAACCATGGAAACTCTGCCCCACACCTCCTATGTCCCTAGCACTGTGCAAAGTCCGAGGGATGAATTCCAGACTGTGAAGTGTTCACCAACCTCCAGGTGCTTAGATCTGTTACAACCATGTGCCAGGACAGGGTAGGAATAATGTAACTTTTTAATCTTAATTTAATTTAGATCTAATTTCATAAAACATTGTCTGAGTTTAAAGTGTACAGCATATCTATGTGATACATCAATACTGTCATACTGGCAATTGTAGCACTCTGAGTCCCATAATTATAATTTCTTCTAATGGCGGGAACAACTCCCTGTGTAGAAGACCCCACTTTCCCCAACCCACCCTGATCTGTCCTTCCCTTCCAGCAATCTTGTCCCGCTCTCACCAACTCTGCTCCATTCCTCCTTACTGTCCTTTCTATTAAATTATGGTCTCTCAAACTAAATTGGGCATTAAAGATCACCCAGTACAGTGTTTTTCAAAATGTTTTTTGATCCTCTACCGGGGGTGTCCAACCCACGGGCCACGGGCTGCAGTTGGCCCAGGATGGCTGTGAGTGCGGCCCAACACAAAATCGTAAATTTACTTAAAACATGCTGTGATTTCTTTTCTGAGTATGTGTCACAATATATTTAATGTGTGGTCCAAGACAACTCTTCTTCCAGTGTGGCCCAGGGATGCCAAAGTTTGGACGCCCTCATACCATCTTCCTACAGGAAACCATCCATACAGCTGGTAGAATATACCTGCTCTGAAAAGAGGAGACGTTCCATGCCTCCCCCACTTCATCCACGTTAGTGGCCCCAATCCCTGCCCATAATGAGTCCCTTGTCAAAGTCCTAGGATTCCCAGACTAAGCTAGCCCCTCGTGAGAGGGACAGAGAACACGTTTAAGTCACAGTCAACATGGTTCTGAGGTATGGAGCCCTCTCATGCTCTTTCCTTTCTTTCCTAACCACAGGGTTTCCAAATCTTCGGGCTGGGAGGAATCCCCTTGAAGTGTGGGAGCTAAAGTCATTCCCAGGGTTCAAACACTACCTCCATTTGCCAAGGCCACATCCCAAACCTCAGGACCAGGGACCTCCTGCAGAGCTTACTGCCTGTCCTTAATGCGGTCATGTGGGCTTTCCTCAAGGGCCCAGGGGAGAAGGAAAAGACAGAGGACACACTTTAGAAATCAGGAGTTCAGTTAACTGGGTATGTCCTGGATATCTCTGTGCCTGTTTCAAAAGGGCTAACACAACAAAAAAGGGACTGGGGTGAGTGTGAGGGGGGGGAGTTAAACAGAGCTCACACCACCACGTGACTCACTACGGAGGGGGGGGCAGTGTATGTGACAACCCGCTTTCCCTTCCCTTAGGAGGAGGCAGCTCTAGGCGCACTGTCAGTTCCCTCCTGCATCACTCCTGCCAGGCCCCTCCTGCATCACTCCTCCTCCTGTCAGATAGCCCCATCACTTCTCTCTTGTAAAATAACAATATGGACATTTACAAAGCTTCCCTTAGCTTTTACAAGTCAGTGCAATTAAAACGCAATGCATCTTAATTGTCAGCCCCTCTTCCTCTTGCCAAACATATGGCAAGAGTCTGAGTGCTGGCCCTGAGCTGAAGAAAGGCAGCGTAATCAGGCTGGGACTCCCATGAAAGTGCCCCAGACAAAACAGTTTCCATCCAAGGTGTCTGGCTTTCCCTGGTGCTTTTCCCAGGCTACCCAAAACTAATTTTATATCCACCATTTCCTCACAGTTTGTCTAGAGGGGTTCAGAAAGTCACCTCAAGATGTGCCTCTGTGGTATGCTGATTATTTTGAGCTTAAGGCGACTTTAGCTCTAGCTGTAGACTCAAGAGAAACTTCTGCCTCATCTTAACTACCTAGAAGAATTTGAGTAAGGGGCCTTGCCCATAGTAAGAGATTATCTATTGGGAAGGGCAAGCTTGTAATTACTGAGTATCTGCTCTTCTCATTGTCCTGTAAGGACCCTTTGAAGCCCTCAGGGCATCTTACCTGCACTCCGGATGTCTTGGATGTTTTAGCGATGACCCATTTTCCAGTTCTGTCTTTGAACCTCCTGCAAGTGGGGTCCCTCTGATTCTCTCCTGTATGCTGGGTTCCCATGCCTGCATATGGACTAAACTGGGCTATTTTCTCTTGCTAATCGATCTTATGTATGTATTTTATTGTTAGACCAGCGGAAAGAAACTTGAGGGTAGAGAAAAGTTTCTTCCTCCCCCACAAAGATGGTTTACTCAATTTTTCTGGAGAAACAGAGATCCAGCAATTTTGCGTCAAGGGACATAAAAGGAGTCAAAAGGCAACCAAGTTATTTTAATGGTTGGCATCTCTTCATCATCATAAAAATGGTGGTAATGGTTGTTCAAATCCTGTTTTGTTTTTTTAAGAGTTCAAATCCTGGTTCTCCCACTTACTAGCCATTAGATCTTGCACAAAATACTTTACTGCTGTCTGCCTCAATATTATTTATAAAGTGGCCAATGATCATATAGTAGTACTTAAGTTATTGCCTTGTTGATAGAGTAAACGAGTTATATGTGTAAGAATCTAAGAACAGCACTAGCATATAGTAAGTTCTTAATAAATTTGAGTTATTATTTGTGTAATGCTTATGGCTTACAAAGAACTTCCAGATCTTGACCTTAAGCCTAGGCATTTGGAAGAAATTCAGAATATTAGGTAAGGTCCAACCTCCTTTATGAACACATCCCAAGGAAAAGTCTACTAGGTATTGTTTCCCAGCCCAGTTCTGTCTCTTTGCGCCATGCCCTGCAAAAGCCCTCTGCAAGGCTCCAGCACACTTCCTCTGCTGTGGCAGAAACTCCCACCCAGGAAGCATGAACTTTCCCCTCTGCCTTACACAGCAAGAGGAGACAAAAGTATGTACATTGTTGTTTAAACCCCACTAGTCCTTATCTCCCCACTTTCAAATACCACTGGATATTTTTTGGAAAACCAATTCTGGGCTAAGAGAATTAAGCTGTGTCATTTCCCCTGGTAAAACTTTTAGATGCCTTTTAAAGCAACATTAAAAAGCTGTTCATGAATGCTGGTCATCATCCCTCCCCCTCACTCCATAAAGGGAAAGGAGTTGACATGTTGTGGAGAATCCTCTGTGTGTGTGTGTGTGTGTGTGTGTGTGTGTGTGTGTGTGAGGCACTAGAATGCATGCAGATGAGACATGGGGCTGCAGGAGGCAGAAGCAACTTGCCCAGAGCACCAATGGGTAAAGGCTGTGGCTATGCACTTACCAGCACTATGACATCAGCCTCTCTGAACTGAGTTTTCTCACCTGTAAAATTAAGATAATAATCATACCCATTTCATAGGGTCCTTGTAAAAATTCAACAAGTTAATTCACTTCTTATGTTTAGCACAACAGTTGACACATATAAGAGTCTGATAAATGTTAGGTTTTGTGGGGAAAAGAGGGGTCACATGCTAAACCTGACAAACTCAGGGGAGGCCTGCGTGGCGGCCTTACAATCTCAGAGACCAAAGGAAACACATAGGATGGTCTGAAATTAAAACTTTCTAACTAAAAGCAGTTCATGGTGGGTAGTCATGTTCTAGGCTGGTATTTTTCCTTAACAAAGGTCAGTCTTTACCTTAACTGAGCCTGTTGTCTTTTTGCATTTAAGATAACATACCTTTGGAATGTCAAATTTCCTTTTTTTGGACCCCTCAAAGTACAGGCACTACTCCAGAGGGGTGAGCACAAACTCCCTCCTTGTTATCATGTTCACTGTTAACTGTTAAAAGTATGTCTATCATTTTACCTTTTGTCCAATCTCAGAGGTTCACTCCCCCTCCAGTTTTGCTTTTTCCCTCCTCCCTTATCTCTCATGGATGGATTTCACTCTGGCCCCCTTAGGCCTCCTCTTCTGATTGTAATGTTCAATATAAGGTGCTAAACTGCCATTCTCTGGAGCTTTTCTTAGTTTGTAGAGATTTTGCTTCCTGGCAACTGTCATCAGTTTGGCTCAAATAAACTCACCAAGAATTCTCTGCGGGTTCAAATGTTTCTTACATTGATAATTTTATTATCATTACCTGAAAAAGAGGAGCAGTTAGGGTTTACTCTGTGCCTTTTCCATTGCACCAAGTGGGCCCCTTGTCCCTGACTGAGGAACATAAGTTTAAGAGCCTTAACTGCTCCCAGCCCAGCTCCTGGTGTGGGGCCTGGGGGAGTGGGTTGAGTAGGAAATCCACCATATTTGAGGTGGCAGTGGCTTTGTCCAACCTAGGAAGCAGTTCACTTATTCCTCACTGCTCACCAATAATGATCCAGTCTTTCTTCTCTGGACCCTTTCATTGACCAGGCACTCATTCTCTGATGACATGTGAATACTAGTACAGTTAGTAAGTGTGGTTTCTCTGTCCCTGATCCCTCCACCCTCTTTCCACTTCCCACTTCCTCTCTCCTCCTCCTTCCTCCTTTCGTCTTCCCCTCCCTCTTCCTCTTTCAGCCCTGTCCTCCCCCTTTCCTCTACCCGCCCAGGCCTGACAGCCTGAAGTCCCACTTTTTGTCCTGACGTCACCATCTCAGTCTCGGAGAGGAGAGCGTGGTAGGTGTTCAGTGTGGCCTTGTGTCCCGACGAGGGAGTGAATTGTTCTTCAATGGCTGTAACAATCCTCCCGGTTGTGCAGGGTCTTTCGGGAGCAGAACCTTTTATCTGGGTCTCTGGCTGGGCCTTCTAGTTCATTAATGTCATCCATCATTTCGCTCAGTTTCCATTATTAACCCTATCTAGAACCACAGGAAACTAGAACTGGGTTGATGCGGTGCCTTGAGGCCCAGGCGGCCCTCTGTACAAGCCGTGAAGAAGGCAGGGACGCTGGGAGCGCCCTCGGATGCAGACGTCTACAGGGCAGCCTCCAGGGTTGAACGCCTGCCTGGGAAAAGGAACTCCGCTGCGGGCCCGCCTCCAGCGGCCTCGGCGCGCGGCCGCTTTAAGAGAGGGGCGGGGCCGGCCCAGTCCAGGAGGCCAGCCCACAGGCTCCTAGTCTTTTTTGATCCATTCAAAAATTACTCATTGCAAATTCCCGGACTGCTAGGAGAGGAGAAGGAAGGGGGCGGAGGAGCCGACCTGCTGCCGGCGCCGTGCTGGGCGTCCCGGAGGCCCAAGCCGCTGAGAGGGCTGGCGGGAGCTCTGGGGGCCTCACCAGGAAGCGTCCGAATCGCAACACCCGCGGAGCTCCCCGCGCCGCCTCCCGCCGGCCCTCGGCCCGGAGGCACGCCCAGCCCCAGCCCCAGCCTGGGTCCCCGGCGATGGCTGGCCGCTGAGCATGGCACAGTACGGCGCCCCCGGCCCGCTCGGAATGGCCGCGCGGGAGGAGCTGTACAGCAAAGTCACCCCGCGGAGGGCCCGCCAGCAGCGCCCCGGCACCGTCAAGCATGGATCTGCGCTGGACGTCCTCCTGTCCATGGGCTTCCCCAGAGCCCGCGCGTAAGTGCTGGTGCTCGCAGCCTTAGCACCCGTTCGGCCCCAGGGCCAGCCCTCGGCTTCGCTCCGGCTCGCCTCCCGCGCCTGTCGTCCGAGCGGCGCGCGCCCCGCTGCCCACGTCCTGTTGGGAGCCGATGGGGCGCTGGAGCCGGCGCTCACGCCTTCGCGCTGGTTGCGGGGCCGGGGCTTGCTGGGGCTGCCTGCCTAAGGGGAGGCATGCCTCAGGGCGAGGACACCGGGTTCGAGTCCGGGTACCTTGCCCAGCGCCAGGCCTCTGCCATGGGGCTAAGCCGGTGTCTCGCGGAACCCGGGGAGGCGGGCCCCACTGGGAACTTAGGCACCCTCTGGAGCCGGAGAGCTAGGCTGGTTTCGGATCCTCTCGATGGCTGGAAAGGGACGGGGACCGCAAGGCAGGGAGGCCGGCCCTCCCACTGCAGCAGTTTCCAGCTCCGGATGCCGCGCTCCGGTTTCGTCTCCCTTCGGAGTAGGAGGGGCGGGAGCGTGGGTGCTGCTGCGTGTTCATTGATAGGGAGGAAAGAAGGAGGAGAAGCAATTCCTTCAGGGGACCTGGGTTCTCGATTCTCGTCAGTGCTGACGGCAGCGCTGATGTCTGGGGGTGCGAGAGAGTAAGGAGGGGGCGCTGTCCTCCTTCATCCTTCTTCCCCCTAGAGAGTGGGGTAGGCAGGCTATGGCAGAGAGGGCGCAGGTGGCCGCCCCGTAGCCTGCTGCGTAGAGGCCTGTTCGCCAGCAAGAGGCAGCAGGAGCCTTCTGAAGCTGGGCATCAGAGGTGGTGGGGCTGGAACCTCGCCTAGGAGGAACCCAAGGTTGTGGCTGGGCTATTCTCCCTTGGTTGCGTGCAGATTTCTCAGGTGGGGGTCACACGCCTGGGATCCTGTGGGGCTTCTTCTTTGAATTGCATCCCCTGAAGGGGGAGTCCGGCAAACTTTATTAAGGAAGGGCAAAGTTAGTGAAAGTTATTTTCTTACCCATTTTTCAGGTGTCCCTTTCCTGGCCTCTGGGCAAGCCTCTTTGCTCTTTACTAACCTGGCCGTTACCTCTTAATCCAAGGAGACCCCTAGTTTTTCATCCCACCCAGCCTGCTTGAAAGGCCTGAAATGGACTGATAACTTCTGTCTTCCACTGGTTTCCAAGCACTTGGGACTCCAGTTGCTGATGCCAGAGTTGCAGAGAGAGGATGTGGGCTCCCCAGGGGTATGTCAGGTGTGGGTGCTGCTGGTTAGGTCCTTCGTATGAATAATGCATATACGCAGCTTTCCTTAAGAAACGGAGGTAGGGGGCTGGAGTCTGCTGGGCAGTGCTGCAGAATTAGCACAGTCCGAGGCATTTTCCCTTTAAGAAATGGGGCCAGTGCTAGGACCTAAGTAGTTTAATTAGGGGAAGAAGCACTTAACTACACAGACCATCATGTTTGCTATTCAAACGGACTTTAAAGGGTCCAGGGGGCCTTGTCCATGTCTTGACATATTAGAATGATGGTCAAAATTAGAATAATTTTGACTTGTTCAACCCCTGAGATCTCATAATAGCTAGCATTTGCTGAGTACTTACTATGTACAGTACCAAGCACTTTACGCATTAGTCATCTTGTTGTCCCAGCCACACAATGAGAAAGGCAACTATACGCCCATTTTATGAATTGGGAAACAGGTTTAGAGAGGTTACAGAGCTTGTTGAATGTCACAGCAGTAAGCAGTGAACTTGGGATTCAAACCCAGACGGTGTGCTCAGCATAGGCCTCATATCCAGGGCCAGGGTGAGTTAATGTGGGGAGAATGCTTAGTGCAGTGCCTGGCCTGGGCACATAGTGAGCTGATTTATCAGTTTCTGTGGCTGCTGGAACAGGTTACCTACCACACACTGGGTGCCTGAAAATAACAGGCATTTGTTCTTTTACAGTTCTGGAAACCAAAGCCCTAAACGAGTGTCACTGGGCTGAAATCAAGGCGACAGCAGGGCTGTTCTCCCTCCGGATTCTAGGGGAGAATCCGATCCCTGCCTCTTCCAGCTCCTGGTGGCTGCTGGCATTCTTGGGCTGTGGCTACATCACTCCAATCTTGGCCTCCGTGGTCACTTTGCCTCCTCTTCTGTCTGTGTCAAATCTCCCACTGCCTGTTTCCTAGAAAGACACTTGCGATTGCCCTTAGGGTCTTTCCAGACAATTCAGGCTAATCTTCCCACCTCAAGATCCCTTCACTTAATCATATCTGCAAACTACTTTTTTGTTCCCCATAAGGTTCCTGAGAATAGGTCATGGCTATCTTTTAAGGAGACATTATTCAGCCTACCATAGCTCCTGTTGCTGTTATGTGCACAGTCTCTCTCTACTGGAATGGTGATGGAGTGGGTCATGATGAAATAGCCTGGGTGGGAGGAAGGTGGTGTTTGCTGTTCTGTCTCCTTCAAATTCTCTGCCTCCAAGTGGGCTGAGCCCTTGGCAATCACCTGACCTGTTTCCACTCCCAATGCAGACTGGCATCTCTTCTACTTCAACCTAGAAAAGCCAGTGTGGTCATCTTTCCCCTTAGTAACAACTCAGTTCAGTAAGAAGAGGGACTTCTCCCCGAGGCTATCTGAAATTTCAGAGAGCAGTTTTAACCTTATTTTGTCAGGCTTAGCCTCTGAGAAGCCTCTTTTTGGATCTTAATCCTAGAGGAAGGAGCATGATGAAATTGAAAGCAAGAGAGAACAGGGATGGCTTTCTGGGATCTGGACGACTTGGCTGTGATGGGGAGAAGGGATGAGACTATGCCTGGAATGTGGCCCTTTAAGGAGAGAACAGTGGCAGTCAGCAAGCACAGCTCTGGTTTCCCCTCTGGCTGTAACTGGATCTAGTGTTGTGCAGCAGTAGGAAGGGGCCTTCCACTGGGGTTCTAGGTGGGCCGACAGAGAGCTCAGAGGCCAGCAAGGCCCTGTGGCCTTGGATAAGTCACTTAACCCCCGCTGGGCCCCACCAATTCCCTCCGAGGGGGACAGGATTGATCTATGCATGCTTCTTAAGTGCACGAGAGAGCCACTGGGGGAAAATGCTGAGCAAGCAGGGTGACTTCAGGGTGTGTTCTCTCCAGCTCATTACTCCCTGGATTTTTTCCATCCCACCACAACATGTTTAGCCCATCCTAGACTCTGCTGTGGAAGAGCCTGCCACCTGGAGAAAAGTGGAGGGGTGGTGATTTTTATGGCAGGGGTGTGTGTGTGTGTGTGTGTGTGTCTGTGCGTGTGTCTGTATGTAAGCAAGCAGAGAGGGTAAGGGAGCCTTAGGGAGGCCTCAGAAGAAAGCTTTCAAGGGGCCAAAAGAGTCTATCCCTTTCTTCTTCTTTTTGTTTTCTATGCCTAATAGCTCTGCTCTGTTCCAGACGTTCTAAAAATGAAGGTCCAGCTTTGTCGACTGGAGTGAGTTTGGTGGGAAGGAAAAGCAAGAGTGTGTGTGTGTGTGCCCAGCAAAGGCCTGAGCGAAAGGACGCCTGGGGCCCAGAGAGCTGCTGCATCTATCACTGGAGAAGGCAGGACAGGCCCAGAGCCTGAGTTGTTGCTTTGAATAACCCTACTCTATTTTCTACTGCCCCCTGCTGGCCTCTGCACTTTGGGAGAGGGGACTGAGGCTCTCCTCCATTACCTCTTCTGTAGCTTGTGGCCAAGTGTGGGAGCCAGTCACTGAACAATGAGTTTGGGGAGTCCTGGCTGATACATAGCTCTGCCTTTTTGTTTGGTTGGGGTTTGTGTGAGGCTGCCTGTGGCTAGTACTTTCTGTGTAGCCAGTGGCTTTAGAATGCGTTCTAATGATTGAGAGATAGTCTTGCAAAGGACACTGACAGGGGTCAGATGACTGACACTTGACGTGTCTAGGTCTTCTCTTTAATCCCTTTTTATCAATATCCTGACCAGCTTCTGTGCTTGGCAATGCCTGTCCTGTGTAAGTCACAAGGCTTTGTCAAGACAAAATGATATCAAGGCAGGCAAGGACTTGGGGCAGTTAAAAGTATAATCTGGACACGAGATAGATAGATATGATTGTTGTGTGGGATTGGAAGAAAACGAAGGATGTGGGATGGCAGTTGAGGTCCTTGGCAAGGATTCACATGGGCTATTAGGTTGTCCTTTTTCCCACTGAGAGTATTTGAGCAATGCCTAGTTAAAGAGTACTTCAGTGGCACAGGGAAAGAGCTGGAAGAAGTGCCTTTGATTTTTCTCTGGTCAGGAGCTGCATTAGCTGTGCCTCACTGCCCAAGGATAAAAGTCACTCAAAGCTGGCTACAAAAGGAATTGAGAGCAACTTGGAGAAGCCCATCAATTAAAATATCCAATTTCTTTGGCCTTCTCCAGCTTACCTGGTACCTGCCATTGACCTGGTGACTGCCATTGGTTGGTTCTCTGAAAGCACTTAGTCAACTTAGCATCTCTGAAATGTGGCTGATTCTGGGTGGGGGCTACAGCTGCTTTCCCAGGGGTGCTGGGAGAAAGGGAAGACCAACCATGGCCCACTGGGAGCTGAATGGATCTTATAGGAGGGCAGGTCAAGTAAGTCTCTACCTGCCCAACCTGACCGTCTGCCCACACAGCACTTCCATGTCTGTGCTATTTTACAGTTGAAAACTTGCTCTCATGTGCACTAAATATGCTCTTGATGAACACAGCAGTCCTTTAAGTAAAGCACACAAGAAAAGCCCCATTTTAAAAATGAGACCTGAGGCTCCAAGGAGCTCAGGGAATACCCGGCATGGCGCCACGTCTCCATGCAGTCTTGGGCTAAAACTGTAAGATCAGGGACCTTTCCAGGCCTTGCAGGCCCGGCCTAGTTCAAAATGAAATACTTTGATGTGTGTTCTTCTTAAGGTCTAATTTATGTATAATAATTTAACCTATTTAGAGCTCTATCAGTTTTGACATTTGAAAACATGCGGAATCACCACCACAAGACATAGCACGTGCCCATCACCTGAAAGTTGTCTGTGCCCCTTTGCAGTCACTTTCCCCTTACAATCCCT